GCTGTCTGTGCTGGAGCCAGACATTGCCATACAGGCATGAAGAAGAATTAATCTTAATAGGCCTCTGAGCCATCAATGCAGACCAGTGGTGGAAGCAAGAATCTGAAAGTGGGGAACCAGCTATGTTGTCTGGCAAGACACAGACCTCTACCAGATTCCAACTGATAAAAAAAATTAAGTCTTCATGAGAGGGCACAAAGAGGCCTTGCTATTTCTACCTCTGTGCCTAGTTGACTTCTCCAGCTGTTACCAAACAACAGTTCTCAGAAACAGGAAAGATAAAAAACCAAGAGCACAAATATCTTCCAATAAAAGACAAATCAAGAGCTATATGTAACACATCTGGGGAAGATCTCAACATCCTGTTGAGAACTTTATGCCCATACATATTTCTGCATGAAATTAAAGAATACAGTACAGGCAAGAAATCAAGTTATCTGCATTACCAAAGCACACAAATCTATGGCTGAAAATGTACCTCAGCCTCCACTGGCATCCTCCAGCCTGACTGCTCTGCCTCCTCTCTATATATTCATTCCCAACAGGAATGCTTAACACCAAAGCTGGAATGTTGGGGTTGTTTGTGGTTTGGTGTTTGGTTTTGTTTTTTCTTTTTCTCGTTGTTTGTTTGGTTGGTTTTTTTTTTTTGTTACAATTGCTTTTGGAGCCCTGCAGAACTTGCCCTGAATGAGCATCAAAGAGCAGGCAAAGAGGTAACAGCCCTAGAATTAAGTCTTACAAAAATACAATATCTAGTATTTATGTCATGCTGTTTATGAACTACATTTTCACATTGACATTAGGAAAAAAATCCTTTCTTGTTGTACTGCTGGAAATCATCACACAACAGTATTTCCAAGCAGCTCCCACTTTCAGGTATTTAATGAAATACAGACAGTGCTAATTATAGGATGATGACACACAATCTCTTACTGGTACAGACAATTTTAAGATCAGAATCATTATTTTTTCTTTAACCACTTACAAGTCATCTCACTCTAACTTCTGTGTTTGGATCTAATATGTATTTGCAAAGACATGAGAAAAGTTAATGGCATGCATCTCACAGATAAGTACATAATGAATTCAGTATTTCATTCGCATCTGCTTAGCTCCCTGATAGCCACTTTCTGGCTAGTCCCACACAATTACACATCCTCAACAGGATTCTCAGAGTCTATGAAGACAGTGTAAAATATACCAACCAACCTCTTTTATTCAAATAAAGGAAACAGATGAAACAATGACTAAAAATTCATTTTAGTTTACAGCCTCTCTCCTATTCCCAAATTATTTTCTCACTAAGGAAAAATGAGAAGCACACCATTTCTTACATACAATTTGCCCTCCTGCAAAATAGCACAAAGTAAGAAAATAAATTTTAGTATTTTGCAGTTACATTCACACTTGCTTTTATATTTATTATACTCCTTGAATTTTCTTACTGATTTAGGATTATTTCATCTGTAATTTAATCCCCCCCTAAAATGTCATGCTAAATAGACACACGATGCTAACAAAGAACAGACTATCCTATACTGCCATGTTCTTCCAATAACAATAAAAAGTTTAGAAGCATGTTAAGAGCTACTTTAAGAAGTAATTGTTAAAATAATCACATGCACATTTCTAAACAATGTCATTAAGGTGTTTTCTTTTAATAAAAAATATACTACATGGCAACCCATAATACTTCATCAATAAACATTTACAAATGTGTATGTCAACAGTAACATCTCATGCAATCAGGAGTACTTGGTTAGCTATAATTAGGTAAAGCAACTCACTTCAAAGCTATAAACAATGTAATAGGATTCCACTAATAATATTTGGAAAAAAATTACGGACTAGCTTCTCAGAAGTATTAATTGCAAATTATTTATCACAACAGACAAACGCCAATCAGAAGTAAGAAGGCTGTTGATATAAAGGATCTGAATTGCAACTGTTGATAGAAATACCTCTTGAACATTAAAGTATGGGCTTTTTTTTTTTCTCCCATATGAAATCTCACTGGGATTAATCAAATCTACTGGATTTATTCTAGCACCTTAAATAATCCAAAGATTCACAAACCTTCTTTCTCTCTCTTCCACATTTAATTTTACTCTTCTTCCAAGGACAAAATAATAGGGAGGAGAAACATTTATATGCATAGCACTGTCTTACATCTGTCTTTACAGTACCTTTTACTATACAGCCTTAAAATCCAAGGTATTCTATCAATAGGATTAATAAAATTGTTACATTTACATTGCATTTATCATGGTATTTCCCTCTCAAAACATGATCAGCTACATTCTTATATTTTCTAATGCAAATACACCATACCGTAAATCAATGTGTTTGGAATACAAAGTACAGTTCATGTAGAAGATAAATGCTGTCTGAAGGTATCAAGATAGCCATTAAAGGCTGACATAAATATCATGCTTTCCAAGTCATCACATCATTACGTCATCACACATATGCTCTGAAAACTAACGTAACACTTAATAACTATATTCTTAAACTCAGCTAACAATTTTTGGGGTACATGAATGCTGATGTGTGGAACTGCATTCAGTTACATTTTTTGCTTTCACAATGTTCCAAAAATCATTTATTTCTGGATGCTTTCTCAAGGAAAATGCTACATTAAACAGAAATGGTGCAACATCTGTTCGGAGAAAAACAGTTGTTCTAAGTATCCATTAGTAAAAAAAAAAAGCAGAAATAACACTTATCCCTGCCTGATGCTTCCAGACTAAGCAAAAACCTCTAACTATGATCAATAACTTAATTATTTTTATTGCATATTTATATATACACTATAATTCCTTCTGAATTCCATGCTATTCCAAGGACGTCCTTAAATAATTGCATATTACCCAACTCAAGCTTCTTCTAGCTTCTATTAATTTAATATATGCAGGCTGTTCATTACCATTCTGTTAGCTGCCTTACAGTTGAGGGGATAGGCATGTATGGCATCTTGCTTAAATCTTCACCAGTATTTAATAGGTTAAGACCACCTCCCTAACTATACCTTATTTAAGAGGTGTCATTCATTTATGCTTAACACAGGAATCCACTGGTCACTGTTTTTGCCTTATTAAGTCAAAAAGACTCCACACACCCCCACAACCCACAAAGGCTATTTTTATATCTTACTTCCTCTTTCCTCTTCTGCATTTACCAAATCTTTTCTTTCTGACTTGCTTCTCTGCTAGCCACAATTCATTCAGCACTTTGGCTTTTTTTATTTTATCACTTCATGCTCTAAGACTAAAATATTCCCTTCTCTGTATTCTCTGCATTGAGCATAAGTCCCATTACATTAACTAAATGTATCCATATCTTACAATCAGGTAAAGAAATTCCAGTACCCACTGTCACCAAACTACCTTTCGTCCTTTTCAACCAGTTCTCTCCAGATTTTTGCCCTAGTTACAGCTTAGGCTAGTACCACAGTCACAAATCCCAGAAGTAAGAGTTTATCAGACTAAGAATCAAAAAAGTAGTAGTGCTTCTTATCAGTACTAAGAAATAGCACCAATATTTTTTAAAAAGCATAGAAAGGCAATCATAGTCACAGCACTATGAAAACAGTTTACAGAAACATCAGCGTTGTCTTTTGAATTCATTACTCAAACAAGCAACCTCTTTTAAGGGCTAACAAGTATAAAATATGGTTATGAATGTTTTAGAAGTCACCTTGAAGTTGTCATTTACTCTCCCTCAAAGTGTCAGACCAATGTATATATTTTCTGGCCAACTATTTCCTGCTGGCAGCATGAAGCAGCTGCTTGTCCAGTTTATGGGATAGTTTGTTCTCACAAAAGTCATAAAATGGCTGTAGAAAACTTTGACCCCATTTCTGAAAACAAGAAAACTACCTATATTCAAACTTCCCACAGGCAGAGAAAAGTGATTCCCCATCTTACCTGTCACAGGTAGGCACAGAAATAGAGAGGGTTTCAATTTTGAAAAGGTGTTATGAGAAGCAGGGAAACTGAGCATGCTCAGTACCAGTACAAGACCTGGTCCTTAATTTCCTTTAGGATTTTGCTCAAGCCTGACATTATCCACTTTTGGCAAACAACTTATGTGATGCTGCACAAGGCTTTATTTTAAAATAATTCATGTGTCCCAGTGCAAGATTCTTGTATCTTAAATGGAAAGGCAAATCACCAACAGATAGGTACAACATGTTGCCTTGACACGTATTAAAAACTCTCTAGCCTTTATTTACTCAGTGTAACACTGGAATATTCCTTGTACCTAAATCTACATTCTGCCCTATTCAGCCACCTCCCAGAGAGGTGTCTAGCAACAAAACACCTACTTATAGATCTGCAAACAATTTGGTGAATTAGAAAACCCACCTCCCTTCAGACTTAGAGACAGAACTGTGCTTTGTCTTTTTCCCTTAGTGAACAGTGCAGTAATCCCAAGTAACCTGCATGTAAAGCTGTTATGTATCAGACTCTGTAATCACATTTCAATGTTTTACTGGTTGTAAATAACATGCACGAGTGCTCCAAGGGCCAAATTGCTCTTTTGCTGCCAACATCAGTTGTTCAATGATCTGATCAGCAGAAGCTGCCAATTATTGTGTTCCATTTTAAAGTGCCATTTGAAGCCACACCTGTAATTACTATACCTTTGTTGCAAATTTATACTCTCAGATGGAGAGCTCTAGGCATACAACTTGTAAGGTCCAGGAACAGCTATGGATAATTATTTATCGATTTCACCTATGAAAAATATCATGCCTCTTTGTGTGTCTACTGCCTACAGCACAGCATCCACTTCACCAGTAGTTCCCAAGCGTGGAGAGGGGTCTGAAGCACCTTACACTAGGCCTGACACAGCCCTGTTCTGCCAGACTTGCCATGGCTTGAAGGGATCTAGACAACTGCACATCAATAACTTTTCCTAAGAAGTCTCAGCTATGAAAAGGTCAATACCTGCTTTAATACATGATTCAATGTTAGTCCTTATCACTTAAAACTTACCTGAAACAGCCAGCATTTTGGCTTCAAGTAGAGCTGGTAGCTGAGTCTCAATATCACTCACTTTCCTCCTCAAAGTACTGCAGAGTTTCTGACTTGTACAAACCTAGATTGAGGCAGACAGCCATGATATATAATTCATTCATATAAAAGTATAAGGCAATCTAAACAGAGCTTCAAATGTTCTTGGTTAACAGACATGACATAACATCCTACAGCAAGGTGAAGAAGCTTAACAAAAAATTATGTCTTTACAGAAATACCCAACATGAATAAAAATTTCCAGGCTTTGCCGCATATTCTATTATAAAACTAGGGAATGGAATTAGCATTAGCCACCTGCATGACAGAGGACATTTTTCACTACTAGATACTGAGGCTGCACATAGAAGAAAGGCCACCTTACAAATTCAGTACAATTCCAGCATTAAAAGTGATGCCTGGAGTGAAGTGTAAACAAGCCAACATTTGGAATTTAAGATGTCATAACACAGAATATACAGCGATTTTTACAGAAAATACACCATGCTGGGAAAAAAAAAAAAAAAAAAGGCAAAGCAGCCATCACTATTTCTCTGCACAGGCAATAAATATGGCTATACCAACTCAATGCTGTACTGTGTTTCACAACCATTTACACTTAGGTGCATATCATCACATCAGAAGGACCTTATACAGCTTACACAATTCATATAAATCCCACATATTCAAAAATATTGGTTCTTACAAATATTGCATTATTTGTGAAGTAAAGCAAAACAACCAACCAGAAAAATCCCTCAACCCACCTAAGGTAAATCTCTCGTTCTGAAGGTAGACGTCAAACACTTGCTTAAAATTCTAATACTTGGGAAAGCATTGTGTTCACTGGAACCATGGGTAAAACAACAGTCGAGAATGACACAGACCAGTTGTGAAGAGAGAAGATGTGAAATGAAATCTCAAGAGTAAACTTTCCCTGCCTTCCTTGACTGCCCTTTCCCCCCCAAAAAAACTCCACAAGTGTATATACCACGCAAATTAACACAGACACAGCTATCACTTCACATTTTAAGCGTAAAAGCCTTACAGCTCTAATGGCTTATCTGTTTGTACAATTAAAGTATAATAATTCAGATATGACACCAACTGTAAATGCTTTTAAATAGATAATATCTTCTTGCTTTATCTGAGAGCATCTGCTAACCACAAATGGGTCATCTTTTTTCTTGAGTCAACAAAACTATCCTCCAAGCAGTAACTGTTGCTAAAGACTTCAAAGTCTTCCTATTAATTTTAAAACACATATATCTCATCACTTCTGCACCTATTATAATTTTTCAATTCCCAGTTATTTCACTTCCGTGTTTCAGTACCCCCTTCTAAATGACTTGCCTACTAATTCATTTGGAATGTTTTAAAAAACCCAAACCTGTCAAGAGGTGAATAAACGTGCCCAGAGAACCCAAAGGCCATTTCTGTCTCACATCTCCAAAATAAATCTGAAAGTTTTTAATGACTTCTTCCTAGGCAGCACTCTCTCTTTAGTGGTACTGAATGGCTCAGTGAATTGCAATTAGATGGAGAATCTTAGCTCCAGAAAAACTGCATGAATATATCCCATGCTGGTAGTAACTTAAAGTCATTATCAGTAGACGGCTGTTTGGCAATTATGCAAAATAAGCTGGGAGGTTTAATCAGTGAACACTGTCCACTTTGTAAGCACTAGTGTCAGAATGGAGCTCGCTGACACTCTATTAATGGACCAAATGCAGGGAGCAAAGGCTGAAAGGAAGCTCCTCTAGCTCACAGAGATGACTCTTCTGGAACATGAGATAAGTATGTTACCAAGCCTCTGTGTCACGTGTATTCTGTAGATAAATGAACAACATTAATCTTCAGAGCTATCACATGGCATAGTTTGACAAAACTAAATGAGCAACTGGGAGAGGCAAAATAGTATCATATCCTCCAGTAGAGCTACTTCTATGTTACATCAGTTCTACTTTACAAGCTCTAAGTCTTTTAGGGTTTTTTAATTATTTTATCTTAATAACAGGTACCATTATTCATTACAGGAGCTTATGCAGCCACTAGGGAAGAGTTATTTTGTAGCTAACAAAGACGGGTCAAAATAACTCCCTTTCATTTCAGGGAAGTTCTTTACAGCCAAATATTATTGCACCTTTTTTAAAATCCTCTTCAGTGGTGGGGGGTGGGGGGGAGTTTAGAGCAGACTTTAAAAAAAAAAGGGCTCTTGTTTAGAAATATACCTTACAAATCTGTGTTCAGACACAGAAACACTACTCAAAAAAGCAGTTTATCTGAAATCAGTAGGATGTTGGTTAGCAAAGATATGTGGAATCAAGATGAAAAGCTGCAAAATATCAAAAGCAAAATTGCCCATTGTCATCCTCTTCCATCTTTCCAGTGTATGATGTTAATATAAAGCAGCAGAAACAGGGACAAGGACACCAACTACAGCACTGGAATTTACTCTTCCTCCAACCACCTCAAGAAAAAAAAAAAAAAAAAGAATAACCTTCAAATCTCTTTACAACAGCATCTTGGAAAAGATAGAGAAACTGTCTTTATACTGCCTGAAGAAAAGGCCAGTCCACCTGGATCTCCCATACAGCATAATCTTGCCATTAGCAAAAGCAGAATTAATTTCTGAAGGAAGGTTGTGGATAAGGGAGACTGCTCCCTTCCCTAGCAGTCTAATCTTAGCTTTTGCAGCCTCAGCTGAAAGCAACACAGCTGAGACAGAAAAGGCCATATAAATACTAGTGGCACAGGGGGAAAGAAAAAAACCTTGACAAAGTAGTGTTTCCCTCATACAATGAAAACATTTAAAAGATCAGCTCTATTCAATTTGAGACAAAAATAACAGGATGAGACAATCTGAATAAATAGAATAATAAATGATTTTGAGCAGTCTCATTACATGCTTCCTATTTATTTTCTCTAATAAAAGCCATCACACAGGAATGGAATAAAATTAAAATAATATTTTATCTATTGAATAGTTAAAGAAACAGACTGTGGAATTCTACCTCACAGGCTTCTCAATTGTTACCCAATATTTCAGCTCTTATTAAAAAATCTCTAGATGCTACCATTGTAAGATAAAACTTAAACAGGCATACATTTTCAGCAGAGAAGACAAAACCTATAACTTAAGGTTTACCTTGCAGATAGTTTGAAACCACACCACTCAAGAGATACCAAATGCCTCATTCATTTTAGTAGACGAGCTGTTGGTCAGTTATAATCTTTGCTTTGATACTTTGTTCATATTCATTCAAAAAATATAGGGAGGGACATCATCTTATAATGTCTATACTATTTTTTCCCCAAGATGTGTGCATAAGCTAGGAATAGAAGAGAATGAAGTGGAATGAAATAAAGTAGGAAAAAAGGAGAAAGGACTACTGAGATGAAGTCTTTAAATGGACTTTTTAACAGTGCATGCTAGAAGTGTTTTTCAAGATAACTAAGAAGAATAGACTATAAAGAATAACATTTTTATTCACTTTGGTAAGTGCTATTAGAGAAAGAACATGAAAAATAAGTTTATTTCAGAGTATAAATTAATTACAGATCAAAACCCAGAAATATTTTCCATTCATTCATCCATATAGACCTATGTGAATTAGCTACAAAAAAATGACTTTTTTTTCCTAGAGCAAAGATGCTCCGTGGCTCACTGAGCCACTCTGAAACAAAACCAAAATGTTAGTATTCTCTTTCTTGGAAGGAAGCCATGAGAAATAAGAAAATTAAAGGACAAGTATTAACATTTCTGGTTAGAAACAAAAGGTATGCTCAATATGCCACCTCACTTTTCTTTATATTTTTAAAGAGGGGATAAGAATTGGATTCTTCGTTTATTATTAGTGAAAGGGCAAGGGGAAGAGGTACTTCTTTTATGCTCTTCCTTCACACCAATGAAATGGGTCAGCTAGGAAAGTAAGCGGCTTTTTATTGAGAGCAAAAACATTCAGCCGTGACCAGAGTTCACTTTCATTTCACGAAGCTGAGGATTCTGTTCCTAAATGGAGACTGGCAAGAAAACTGATTAGTAAATGTAAAGAACAACAGATAACTCTATCAGATTCTGTAGGCATCATCTCTGCTCCCTGTCCAAATATAAAAGTTGTTGGGGGTTTTGAACTGTATGTTTAAAAATATTTATATGCAAAATGCATTTAGAAGAAACACCACAAAACCAACTTTCTAGAACAAATAGTTTATTAATCTTCAAGCTATTATCTGCTTTTCTGAATGTTCTGAAGAACTGAAAACTGACGTGTACTTACTTTGGCAGTAGTTTCTTTAATGGACATGCTGAATGATTGTTCTTTTTCCTGAAGGCTAGAAGGGATTAAAATAAAATAAAGTAAAGTTGACCTTCTCTGCTCATCACCATCTGCTACACAAGACACATTTTCATATGGAAGCATATAGGCTTTAAGGTGGCTCATACTAACACAAAAGACCCAAGACCAAGATAAATTCTGTATATTTGGTTTCAGTGTTGCTAATGGTTAACCAAAATTTTTTCCACCCAATTTCTACTCCCTTAATCCTGTTTGTTTGCAAAATGATTCACATACTAACTTTACAGTTCTTTCTTGAGTTTATATGCCTTTTACTTACCATCTGAAACACAATTATGATTATTCATGTAACCATAACATCTTGGAAGTTCCCAGCAGCGTCCAGGACCAGTGATTTGCTAAGCTACCATCCAGACACCTAACACAAAGGCATTTCTGACACAAAGAGTTTGCATTTACCCTCTTATAATCCAGTTTCCAGTTCTGCCAGGAGAACTTCAACCGCAGTCACTTGTTCTCACAGTACTTTTAAATGAAATACCACTACTAGGTCTGTAGTAGTATTTAGCTTAATAAAAACCTACAAAATACCTGTACCAAATTGATTCAACAGTCAGCTGAAATTGAGGTATTGTCTATGCTTATATGAACAAATTCAAGGGTTTTTTCCACATATAAAAACAGACAGGTTTACTACTTTGACATTCCCAAGCCCAATGTAAACCTGTGCTTTTGGTGCTTGTAAATTAAATCATTTTGTATTTTTAACATTGTAACATAATATCTTTTAACAATTTAACAGAAGTTCAAGCACTTAAGTCAAATCAAACATTAAAGAGTTAGTATAGAGATTATTTTTGCAACATTAACACTTCCCCTCTCTCCTGCTTCACATTTAAACAGCCTTCAATTACTTTATCACAAGCTATTTTCTTTTAGCTTCAATTCAGGGTACATGAGACAGCACTCCCCACCAGATGCATTTTAATTCTTCCTTTCAGCTGCATTGTGAAAACTGTATTCATTCCTCCTGAATAAAGAACTACAAATTTATTTCTGAGCTTTTCTTTAGTGTTCAGCACTGAAGTATCCAAACGTTTCCAAAGCATCACTGGATTTATTTCTATAATGCTCTCACAAGATAAGGCAGCACTGTATTCATTTTAGAGACGAAAGAAACACAGGCCACTGTTACTCAGAAAGCATGTGAAGACCAAGTGCCCTTTTTGACATGCACATGCTCCTTGCTGCCTACCTCTATGCATTTCAGGGTGTTTTTTGAGAACTTGCCCTTTCATAACTTCCACGCACAGCACTTACTGCATCCAGTTTCAAGAGTCAGCATTTACGTAAGCCTGAACCTCACTCAAAGAACACAAAGTCAGACTCAGTTACTGCCCAGCTACAGAAAGGCTGGCTGGAGCATCTCACCCAGCTTGCACACAGCAGTGAGACAGCCTCAGAGGCAGAATTCAGCCATTCAGAGTACCATTTAATTGTGTTAACGAGACAGGTATTTGCATTGCCTTCCCTAATGCACTGACTCATGGAGTACACACCTTTTCCATCTACAGCCCAGCAAGGCCAGTCATCTCATTACCACCACAGCACACAGGGGTCCCTCCAGCTCCAGATGAGGCAAATTTCATGAGCCCTCAGAAATTGCTCATGACAGTTTAAGTCAATGCTTGTGTAAGGCAACAAACAGAAATACAACTGGCTAGCTACATAAAAGTGGTTCAACAGTATTTCTCACACAGCAGTCTCCAATTTCTCCCTTTTCTACAGCAATATATGGGCAAAACACAAAATATTACATGTGCAATGATGCCATTATCAGCTTCCTGCCTGCCTCTGGGCATGCCAGAGGGAATGAACTATTTAGACATTTCTGTTCTCAGGCTCTGGAGAAGTCGCTCCCAGCAAGTTTCAGCATCTGCCACAATCAGCGCCTGAGCTGGTCAGGTTACGTAAAGAAAGAACTGGGCTTTGTGTACAGATGTCAACGGGGAGCAGCAAGGCCACGGTGTGTAATTGAATGAATAATGGGTGACTGACCCAATTGTTCTGAAACTGCCTTATAAAATTCTACTCTAAAGATCCAGGCCGTAATAAAATGTAAAGTGCAGTTATAGCCAGAAGAACAGTATAAAGATGGCACCTCTATTTAACAAATCTCTTTTATCTGTTTGCTTTCTTCATAGAAAGCCCCCCCAGGTTCATGCATTTCACTCCTCTGCAGAACTTACACAGCTAACAAGAAGAGAAATCAATTTTTAATTTCTTTTTAAACCATTGATCCAAAACAGCATTACAAATTAAGACCCAGTTGTAGAGTCTGTATTGTTAACAAGGATGCACAAGTCCATGCAGACTTTCAGGTCCAGGTGCTGAGTGGGAAAAAACATCCCCTTTATATCCATGTTGTTTAATTTGTATGAGCATCCATCAGGTCACTGAAAAATAAATAAGGAATTTCACACTGCCACTTCAATGACAGCAGAACTACAGTTCTAAGAGAATTTTACAGAACTATGGTTTTAAGAGCATTTGATCTTGATATGAGGCATCAGTAAAGAAAATGATTAGTAAATCATTGTTTGACTCAAGCTAGTGATACTCGCATTAGCCACAGACTTCAATCTGAAGAATCCTTTTGTTACAGTGCAGAATTGACGCAGACCCTTACAAGTGTGTTTGTATTATTTATGGTAAGAATTTCCCAGTAGTATCCTGTTTTGAATCCTCTTTAGCCTGCAGAGCAATACCATAAGAATCCCTTATGCCTTTCAGAGGTTAGTACACCACACAATTCACATGTGGCAATCAAAACCATGTACAAACCAGCCATAGTTACCAACTATGAAAAGCTTTTAGCTAAGTTTATTCCTCTGATGTTTCCTTCTACCAAAAAACACTTTCTCGGAGAAGTCCCTCATAAGCTTTCCAATTAACTGACAAGCTAATGACCCGCAAGAGAAACCAGCCAGTCAATACCGATTCATTCTACTGATAAAGGCCTTTAACAGCCCTGACCTAGCCCTGGTCTGGTACATGTGACTTGAACCAGAAGCAGTGGGGTTTTTCACCACCACTCTGGGGCATTGTATTTCACTCAAAGAGTGCTACTCTGTCTGCTTTAACGTTGCTTTACTTAATACTACCAGGAAAAACAGCTTTAAAAAGAGCTTCTTGAAATAACACTAAATTCTTGCCTGGGAAGATGTCCACAGTTTTGCCTCATTGCTATTCTTCTCTAGCAGAACGGCTAATCAAGAATTTGACTGCTTGTCCTCATAGTCTCTGCAATCTATTACAAGGACCATTTAGAAGTTACTTCTCAAATTCAATATAAGCTAACTCCATCGCAGAGAAAGCAAAGTTCCTGACCCAGCTGATGGAAGGACTAGAATAAGACAGGAATTCAATTAACGCAAATTTAACTGACTAAATGCAAGAAAAGAAAGGTTTTTAACGCTTGCAAAACTGACAACAATCTATACATCGTATGTAATTCCTTCATTCACACAGATAGTCATGTAGGCCTGTCATTTAAATGGTTTGTAATGGATTTACACACAATGGGATCCATAATGAGGAGCGAAGAAAAGAAAAAGAATGTAGACTTACTACATCCTGGGGCCTCATTGTATACAGGCTAGACCAGAAGAGGAAAGCAGGAGCTAAGGAGTTACCCTTTCAGGATGATGAATGAAGTAATACTTTGGCAAAACACAGACTTCAGCTGGAGAACTGCAGGAGGATGTGGGAAAGCCACAGATTCAGGAGCTGAGGCTGACTTGTCTTGTTAATAACAGACAACGGGAAAAAATTTAAGATCCAAATACTTCCAGCAAGCCAGTGCCTTTTAAGCATTTCATTTTACAGACCTTAAAGAAAAATAGGTACCAAGTATGTTGAATTGTAGTAACAGAGTTGGAAATGGGTGAGATGGTGAAATTCATAATCAGGAACGTTGTGCTGGCAAAATAGTCAATCCAATGCAACAGGGAACAGAAGGAAGACTGAGAATCAAGTGGTGTGGTTCACACATTCCTCGTTCTGTTACCAGCTTCCCACATGACTGCAGAGGACATTAAATGTCATGATATAACAGATAATGTTTAAAAAGCATTTTAAAGAATATTCTGAGAAGTTATGACTTACATGCACAAATAACATACTATGGAAGTGGCTTTGTTCAGAGGAAGGCTGACTAGTACAATACTGGGAAGAATGGCTTTCTACTAAAGGAAGGCATGTTTCTGAATGTCTTTCCTTCCACTTTGCTAGTATACTTCCCTTTGCATACCAGGCTATTGTGTATTTATGTTTTGCTTCCTAAGAAAAAAATTCAAAGAATCAAAGTGGGCAAAAGGCAAGTCATGCTGTTTTCTACATTCAAGATACGTATACGTACTGCTTAAACAGAAACAGTTCCTGTATTAATAACAAAATATATATACAGTGGCAAAAAAAGTAGTCAGAATGCAGTTTCCATAACTGCACGACAGAACATACCACACACATAGTACCAGTGTAAAAAAAACCAAAATCTGTAGTGGATATTCTTATTTTCACACAGAAACTAAGCAGTCATATCTGATCTCTGCTGAAGAGACTGAAAGACAAAAGGATGTCCTTTAACAGAAAGTATGCTTCCTCACATGACTGTCACCTAAAGCATTATTCTAGATCCTGTTATTTCACTCTCTACATCCACACCACAATACATTACTTAAGCAAAAAGCACTACACACAAGTCAGAACAATTTAAAATTACCCAAATTTGAATTTCCAATTCAAGAACAACAGCTTAGAAACCTATGCTCAGATTGTATGCATATGAGGAAGCATGATGGGCTGAACCCTCAATTCATAGGAGTATGTATTCCCTTCTAGATAAAATGATTATTAAAGAGTATTTTCATGACCATCAGCAAATTTAAACGGTTTACAGAATGTCTGAATTTGACCCAGAGCAATGAGACTGCCTACAAAAAAATAACCTCATTCTAATGGTCACAGCCTTCA